TTCGACGTGCGAGAGCTAACCCCGATGACAGCTATGCGAGTCGTCTACGGAGTGGAGACGTTCACGAAGGCGGAGTGGAATGGGGGTGACGAGAGCGAGAGCCCTTGGGAATTGCTCCTCCTTTCATAAATGAGTGTTGCTTTCAGAAATGCTTGGCTTCTGGTTTGAATTTAATGGAGGTGGGGGCGAACCAGCTGCAGATTTCGATATTCTTTTAGGAGGTATTAATACAAAATACACTTCTAAAGAATACAAAATACGCTCTTTAGAAGTTGATATTAATACGCTCTTCAACTGTACTTATTAATACAAAATACACTTTAGAACTTGATATCAAAATACCAGCCTTCTGGCCCCGTGCGTCCCGCTGGCACCGTTCGCCACGCTGGCCCCGTTAGCGCCTCGCTGGCCCTGTTAGCGCCTCGAACCCCTCTAGCCCGTTAGCGCCCCGCTGGCCCCGTGCGCCCCAGCTAGCCCCGTGGCATCTCCGGCCCCATGCGCCCCGCTGGCCCCGTGCGCCCCGCTGGCCCTGTGAACCCCACTGGCCCCGTGCGCCCCGCTGTTCCCGTCGCGCCCCGTTAGCCCCGTACGCGCCACCGGCCACGTGCACCCCGCTGGCCCCATCGTGCCCCGCTAGCCCCGTCCACGCCGCCAGCCCCGTGCGCCCCGCTGGCCCCGTGCGCCACGCCAGCCCTGTGCGCTCCGCCGGCCCCTCAGCTAGCCGGTCCCTCCCCCGCCGGCCCCTTGCTCTGCCGGCCACAGCTCGCCCCGGCCCCGCACCGACCAGCAGCCACGCCGCAGTGTCGTTGAGCCGCCGTGTCGCTGCGCTGCCGTGTCACTCTGCCGCCACCGACCCATCGGCCTTGGCTCCCTTCTGAGCCGGCACACCTGCCGGCTGTCTCTATTGCTCCCCACCGCACTACACCGCACTTTACCACTCTCCACCGCTCTCCACCGCACTCCACCGCTCTCCACTGCTTTCCTTCGCCTTTCCTCCTCTTCCTGTCAGCGGCATTCAGCTACTGCTGCCGTGGGGATGGCGGACTCCCAGCTTCGCCTGGACGCGGAGGGTTAGGCGATAGACTTTGAGGCGTGGCTCGTCCACCTCCGCCGTCACCTTACAGGTCAGCGCCAAGACGGTTATTCTCTTGCGGTTCATGTCGATGGCCTGCTTCCCCGCTCTGCTGCGCTCGCGTTTGTGCCTCTGGCATGGACAAGCTCACTGCTGGCACTGTCCCCTATGTCTTCCTAGGTTTCCCCCTTGATGTGTCTGACCAGCACTTCTACCACCCGCCTTCTGACCACTTCTTCCACTCGCGTGACGTCACTTTTGACGAGTCTGTCTCCTTCTACCACAGCTTTCCCCACTGAGGTCTCCCTGTTTCCCCGCCCCTGTTTCTGGTTCCCACTCCCCTGGTAGCCCCTGCTCCTCTCCCTCCACGTCGTGCCCCATCTGGTGTGTCTCACGTCACTCCCCTCCCGTCGGTGGTCCCAATGGAGGAGTCGGCTGACTCCGGCAGTCCCACGGCTTCAGTTTCGCCCGCAAATCTCAGCCCCAGTGTCTCCTCCTCTGCCGCCGTCGCCGCCACAGCAGCCGTCGCCGTCGCCCCAACAGCAGCAGACACCGCTGCCGCTGCAGGGGTCCTGGCGTTGAGGAGGGTGCTAGTCCTGAGGTTACTGTCGTGGCTTATCCCGGCAGTCTCGGGGGTGGCACCGGTGCTGGAGAGGGTTCTCGTTCTGGGGGTTCTGGTTCTGTGGTTGCTAGTCTTGGGGTTATTGTCGTGGCTTGTCTCGGCGGTCTAGGGGTTGGCACTAGTGCTGGAGAGGGTTCTCGTTCTGGGGGTGCTGGAGTGGAGCGTTCCAGAGGTAGCCATAGTGCAGCTCTAGGTTCTGGTGTCGTCGTGGAGCAGCAGCAGCAGAAGTTGCTGCCGTTGTCCGCCCTTCGCCTCCTCGGTCTTCCCTCCCCTGACCGCCCGCCTGCACCTCCCCTGCTACTACCTCCCCTGCCTATCTACGGCCCTGTGTTTCCTCCGGCGGACTCGTCTCTGGCTCGTCTTCCCCCTTGTTCCCCTCCTGTGTCTCCTCCTCTGTCTCCTGACCCAACGCCTCCGTCTCACGTCTAGTCTTGCCATCCCTCCCATGCTCGTCCTGTCTCTCCTGTCCAGAATTCTCACCCTATGTTGCTCCGTTCCCACGCGTCTCATCCTCCCCTCCTCCCGCCGCCTCCTCCGTTGTCGCTTGTTGTCGCTCCGCCTCCTACGTCGTTGCGTGTTGTCGCTCCTCTGTCGTTCGTGCTGGCCAGACCCGATTCTACATCCTTGTCTACGTAGACGACCTGGTCCTTGCTACTGCAGACAGAGATGCACTGGCCTCCATGAAGGCAGAGCTACTGAGGAGGCACACCTGCACTGACCTAGGAGAGCTGTGCCATTACCTTGGCCTGCAGATCTCTTGGGACAGAGCTGCATGCACCATCACTCTCACACAGTCACACTTGGTGCGCCAGGTCCTTCAGAGGTTCGGTCTTCAGTTCTCCTCCACACAACCCACACCTCTGCCAGTAGACCACAGGTTCTCGGCTCCAGTCCCTGAGGAGTCTGTAGAGCCTAGTGGTCCTTACGCAGAGCTTGTAGATTGCCTTACGTACCTGATGACTTGCATTCGCCCAGATCTCGCATACCCCCTCTTAGCATCCTGGCTCACTTTGTAGCCACAGGCAGACACCGACCACAGTACTGGTCGGCCACTATGAGGGTTTTGCGTTATCTAGCAAGTACATCGGGCATGGGGCTAGTGCTAGGAGCACACAGGCCAGTGGTCCTTACAAGGCACACCGACGCTTCGTGGGCAGACGACGCTGAGACGCTCAAGTCCTACCAGGGCTACTGCTTTAGCCTTGGTGCAGGCGCCATTTTGTGGAGGTCCACCCGCTCGTCGTCTGTTGCATAGTCTAGCTGTGAGGCTGAGATCTATGCCGGTGCCATGGCGGCACAGGAGCTCAACTGGCTGACTTTCTTGCTCACAAACTTAGGTGCGGCCTAGCTCTGCCCCGGTTCTGTACGCTGACAATAGGGCCATGATCCTCTTGTGTAAGGAGCCTCAACTTGTGGGCAGAGCGAAGCACATCCAGCTGCGGTACTTCCTCCTGCGCGAGCTACAGTAGCGACGTGAGGCCCGCGTAGTACAGTTGGCCTCCGTTGCCAACACATCCGATATCTTTACGAAGGCGCTTCCGCCTAAAGATCATCAGCGGCACTGTGTACTGCTTGGTCTCATTCCTGTAGATTCACACTTGGTAGGACCTTGATTGTATACTACTTTTATATTGTCTTGACTGGCCTTGTGGCTTTTGTCCCAGTGGTTGGGCTACTAGTACTACCCTGGGTTGCTCTTGTTTAGTTTGTACTCTAGCTGACTGGTCTTCGGACCCTTGCCTCAGAGGTTGGACTAGTAGTGCCACCATGAGCTGTGTGTCTTTTGCCAGGCACTGTCCCTCATCTAGCCTGGGGGGTGTGTCAAAACATATATTTATATATATGTGTTAAGGCTAGATAAGTGCATACTCTTATAGAGTACAACCCTTTAGCACAAAAGCACATTGTATCTCTCATTCTAATCATTCATTCTCTCTTAACAGGGTACACCAAGATTTTTTGTATCAAATATTGTGTAGGTCCGCATAGGGGTTGTTACAATCACAATAGGCTTAGATGTGTCTATAATGAGAGATAGAGAGCACAGTCGGATTTCCGTCAGACGGCTTCAAATATTGTTAACGATCTGGTCGCTGAATCAAACGATAATCTGTAAGTTGGATCTGGAGCGCGTTGCTGTCGTCTATCAGTAGCAAGTTGAATCATGAAATTCCATGAAGATTTGACGATGCTATGGCGGTTTGACTGGCAGGAGGTATAGCAGCCACTATAGTCTTAGGAGTACAAACTTAGCAAGAAGAGTTCGAGAGGGAGATGGTTCCCAGCCTCTACATACCCCAAGAGCCGAGGTCCAGGTTGGCGGTACACCACCACAGAGTCCCCAACCATGAAGAGTCTCGAAACCAACCCTCCAAGGAGCTACACCAAGTGAAATGTAACACTACACGAAGTAACGTTACTATTTTCACTATTTAATATTTATCCGCGTCCCTTGGGCTTGAAATCTTGAGCTCTTGGTCTTGGTTCTGCAAGATAAATTCTTCTTGAGTTGAAGGGGGCTTGCTGCACACACCTGCGATACGATGGACACTTCACACTCGACAAAATAGAAAAAACACATGCGACACGCAAAAGACGACTTGACGTGCGAGTTGTAAAACCTCGCTAATATCTTGACCGACACAAACCACATTGTGATACACCATTCAAACACACACTCAAGCACTGGATAGCAATGACATAGACTCACAATTCATTCCATGCCATGCATGCACACACACAAGCAAGGACGACAAGCCGAGTGCAAGCCATAGGGTTGCACCAACAAACTCCCCCTCGGATTGTTGGCCTTAGAATCTGCTCCCCTTAGTTCAGAGCCATCCCAGCAAGCTTGCAACACTTCCAATGCTGCTGCTCAACCAGCCTCTTGGTCATCATATCAGCAGGCTGCGCCGTCGTCTTCACGTAGTGCAACTCCACTTCACCCGAAGTTACCATGCTCCTCACCCAATGCCACTTCACCTTCATGTGCTTGGTAAGGCCATGAAGAACGGGGTTCTTAGCCAATGCAATAGCACCCTGGCTATCACAGTAGAGTGGGGTAGGTCCTTGCTGCTCCTCCCCCAATTCAGCTAGCAAACGCCGCTGCCACACAACCTCTCTTATGGCATGGAAGAGTGCCATGTACTCGGACTCCACCGAGCTCAATGCTTGGTCCACTTGTTTCTTGCTCTCCCAAGCTGTTGGTCCTCCACCAACACAGCAGATGAAGCCTCCCTTACTTTTCATGTCCTCTGGTTTTGATACCCAAGATGCATCAGAGAAGGCCGTGAGAAAGAGCCTCCCGGGTTCGACTCCATCCGCTCCCTTTTGACGCCTTTGTGCCGCCGCGGAGTATTGCAGTCCAACTGTTGCTGTTTGGCCAAGGTACTTGGCCACCCTCTCTCCAGCTGCTACCTGCTCTTCATTAGGGCATTGGACAACCCTAGTCAGCTTCCCGGTAGCAAAGGCTGCATCCGGCCTTGTGTGAACGGCCGCATACATGAGGCTGCCCACCAAGGAATGAAAACGGCGCCTCTCCTCTTCACCAACACTTTCCTCCGCAGGTCCTTTCACACACTTGAACCCCGAGGGTAGAGGAGTAGCCACATGACCTTCACTCTTTCCAATGTTTGCAGCCAAAGCCTCCAAGTACTTCTTTTGATGCACCCGCATCCACCGCTTCTCCACATCTCGCTCAATGTGGAGCCCAAGGTAGTAGTTGACGTCACCAAGGGTCTTGCACTTGAACTTGTCTTGAAGCTTCAGCATCACATCTTTCACAAGGTCAGAGGAGGGTGAGAATATGAGGATGTCATCCACATAAACCACCATGAAGCTCCTCTGCTCCCCCTCGCCAAGCATGAACAAGGATTGATCGGCCGTTGAGGGAGTGAAGCCGATCGCCTTCAAGACTTCCCGCAGCTTGATGTACCATTGCCTAGGGGCTTGCTTGAGGCCATAGAGTGCTTTCTTCAGCTTCCACACTCTGCCACTCCCATCATTGTACCCCTCTGGCTGCTCCATGTAGGTCTCTTCCTCCAAAACGCCGTTGAGGAAGGCCGTTACTATATCCATTTGCTTCACCACCCATCCTTTGATGGCCGCCGCGGCGAAGAGGGTTCGAAGGGTTGTACCCTTCACCACAGGGGCATACACTTCATTGTAGTCCTTCTTCTCTTGCTGCTGATACCCCTTGGCTACAAGTCTGCTCTTGTAGCACTCGATGTTGCCGTCGGCGTCGGTCTTGCGCTTGAAGAGCCACTTGGAAGAGATCGCCTTACGCCCCGGAGGTAGGTTCACCAAGTCAAACGTGTCGTTCTCGATGATGCTCCCCATTTCTTCATCTGAGGCCTTCTTCCACTCCTTCCCATTGGGGCCCTCCCAAGCCTCCTTGGGATTTGTAGGCTCCCCCGGCATCTCCACCAGAGAGAAGAAGGCAAAAGCGCACTCCTCGCTTTCATCTTCCGCATCATCACCTAGCATGAGAGCCGAACCGGTCAAGATTGAGTTGGCTGGTCCTCCAAGCCGTTCATAGCTCAACCTATTGGGGGGCTGAGTCCTCCTTCTCCCCCTTCCTTCCTCCTCTGCTGCAGGGACTTGAATGCTCTCATGGCTTTGCGGTAAGTCCGGTCGGTTCCCGCGAGCACTTGTAGCACGAGGTGGAAGTGGCGGTGCACGCTCATTACCTTGCTGCACCTCCTCCTCCTCCTCATCCCCATTCATTTGGGGAGATTGCCTCGTGATTGTGTTGCTGCTACTCAGCTCCAAGGGCAGCTCCACATGCTCCAAGCCGTTACTCTTCACCTCTCCAAGCCGCACACCAATCTTCGCTTGGTTCTCCGCCTTCCACTCCTTGTACGGTAAGTTCTCCATGAACTTGCAATCTCTGCTCACCAAGAACTTCTTGGTAAATGGGTCCCAAAGAAGCCATCCCTTGCTGTTTTGAGCCATGCCCAGGTGCACGGCCCATGTTGCCTTGGCATCAAGCTTGTTGTGCCGAAGTTTTTTAGGCACAAGTGCCATGCACATGCACCCTAACACCCGAAGCATATCCACCTTCGGCTTCCTTCCAATCCACTCCACATAGGGCACCCATTTGTCTTCTCCCACATGAGTCAAGGCTCTGTTCTTGGCCACACAAGCATGCCGCACCGCATCCGGCCAAAAGTAATTGGGTAGACCGGCTTCAATGAGAAGTCCCCGAGCCGTCTCTGTGAGTGTCCGATTCGCACGCTCGGCGATGCCGTTCATTGCAGGAGAGTAGGGCATGGTAAGAGAGTGTCCTATGCCCTGCTTCTTCAGCCAAGTTGAGAAGTCCTTTCTCAGGAACTCTCCCCCACGGTCTGTGCGAATCGCCTTCACAAGCTGGTCTTGTTGCCGTTCCACCATCGGCAACCAATCGGTCTTCACCGTCTCAGCTACATCACTCTTCTTGGGCAGCACATACACCCAGGTCATGCGAGTGTAGACATCCACAATGGTGAGGAAGTACTTAGCTTCAGCAGCTCCAAGCTTCAAGGGGCCCACCACATCCATCACCACCTCATCAAGTGGTGCCTTCGCCGTTGTCTCCGAGCTATGGAACGGGTAGCGGATGAACTTGGCTTGCATGCATGTTGGACAGCCAAGCACCTCATTGGGCTCCCCCTTAACACGTATCCCACTGACCATCTCTTGCTTAACAATCTGCTGAAAAATGGGCAATGCCAAAGGCCCCATTCACCGATGCAAGGTCAGCCAATCACACTCTCCCGTAGCGGAAGTCGGGTTGGAGAAAGCGGCACTCGCAATTGTGCCCCACAAGCTCTCTCCTTTCTCCTTTGCCTCTGCTGCTTTGCTGATCTTAGGCTTCTCCTCCTCATTTCCACCACCTTTGGCTGCTGCACCACTCTCCTTGGGCTCACACGCCTTGCTGGTCTCACCAAGATTGCATTCCTTTGAGTCAGTCTTGGTGTCACTTTGCTTTCCGTGATCACCGCCACCAACCGCTTCACTCTTGGTGCTGACGCTTGCTGCCACCTGCTTCTCCTTAGGCCTAGGGACCACTGGGATTTGCCACATCTCATTGTAGATGTCCCTGTCCTCATGAAGGTCCCAAAGCTTCCGCTCACCAAGCCTCGCGGTATAGGTTTTGGAGCCCTTGGAAGATGTGTCCATGCCGGCCTTTTGCAAACGCCGAACGGAAATCAGGTTGGCTGCTAGGTTGGGCACCCAAAGCACGTTCTTGAGGCCCACCATCTTCCCATCAGCACCCTTGAACATGGCCTTGGCCATGCCTTTCACCTCTGCTCGCTGCCCCAAAGCCGATGTAACATGCTTGACCGGCGACGGTTCGAGTTCGGTGAGCAAGTCCGCACGAGGTGTCATGCTGTAGGTGGCGCCGCTATCGATCACCCAAAAGTCCAGAGAGTGAAGGGTGACCTTTCCCACAGTAGCTGGCTCCTCAAAGCCATCCACACCTCCTGCTGCAGCTGCTGCTTGCGTGGAGACAAAGAAGAATTGGCCCGGGTATCGATCTTCACTCGAGTCCTTGTCGTAGTCTCCACCTTTCATGCTTGCCGCTTCGCTTCCACGACCACCACGGCCTCCACGACCTCTGCCTCTTCCTCCCCTTGCTCCTCTGCCCTCTTGGCCTTGAGAAGGGGTCCATCCATCAGGCAATCTGAAGCAATCTCTCCACATGTGGCCGGTCTTGTGACAAAAGTGGCATTCGCCATCAAATCGACCGCGCCCACGCCCGTAGCCATTGTTGTTGTTGTTGCTGCCATATCCTCCATTACCACGGCCTCCACTGAAGTTACTGCTGCCAAATCTTCCTCCTCGCCCTCTGCCCCTTCCACGGCCATGCCCACGGCCCATGCTTGCAACTCCGGCACCATCGGGACCCGCCAATTCGCGACGGCGGAAATCTTCTTGTAAGATTTCCCGCTTCACATCTTCGAGTGAGAGACGGGGCAGATCTCGATTAAGGTTGATGATGAGCGAGGACCATGAGTCCGGAACTAAGGCCAGCAGCTTGGTCTTCTTTTGAAGGTCACTGTAGTTCAGGTCAGCTCCTTCGAGCCGTGTCAACAAGTCGAAGAATTTCTGCACTCCTTCCTCCACCGGTTCACCTTCGTCAATTCGAAGTGCCGCCATTTGCCGCTCCAAAACCACAGCCACCGCCGCTGTTGCAGGAGCGTTTACACCCTTGAGAGCAGCCCATGCCTTTGGTCCCTTTGCTGGTTCACGCTGAAAAGGCTTGATGTGACGGATTTGGCTGCTCCCCAACGCTTGCCCAAGTAGAAGGTAGCCTTGTGCGCTCTTCCGCACGCACGGGCTCTTCTCCGGGTCGTTCTCGGGGCGCTTCTCCATTCCTTCCATCACCTCCAGTAGATCATAATGGTCAAAGATGTTCTCCATCTTGAAGGACCACTCAGCAAAGTTGTCACCGTTGAACTTGTCAAGGCCAAACACTCTAGGCTCATCCCTAGAGGGTCCAAGGCTAGGTTGCACTGGAGCAACGGGTGGATCTTGGTGTTGACCTTGTGCTTGGGCGTCTTCTCTGCCTCCAACACCTCTGCCACCCCCTTCCTCAGTTCTAGGCATGGTCTAGACGGCTCCAAGGGGCTCTGATACCACTTGTTATAATCACAATAGGCTTAGATGTGCCTATAATGAGAGATAGAGAGCACAGTCGGATTTCCGTCAGACGGCTTCAAATATTGATAACGATCTGGTCGCTGAATCAAACGATGATCTGTAAGTTGGATCTGGAGCGCGTTGCTGTCGTCTATCAGCAGCAAGTTGAATCAGGAAATTCCATGAAGATTTGACGATGCTATGGCGGTTTGACTGGCAAGAGGTATAGCAGCCACTATAGTCTTAGGAGTACAAACTTAGCAAGAAGAGTTCGAGAGGGAGATGGTTCCCAGCCTCTACATACCCCAAGAGCCGAGGTCCAGGTTGGCGGTACACCACCACAGAGTCCCCAACCATGAAGAGTCTCGAAACCAACCCTCCAAGGAGCTACACCAAGTGAAATGTAACACTACACGAAGTAACGTTACTATTTTCACTATTTAATATTTATCCGCGTCCCTTGGGCTTGAAATCTTGAGCTCTTGGTATTGGTTCTGCAAGATAAATTCTTCTTGAGTTGAAGGGGGCTTGCTGCACACACCTGCGACACGATGGACACTTCACACTCGACAAAATAGAAAAAACACATGCGACACGCAAACGACGACTTGACATGCGAGTTGTAAAAACTCGCTAATATCTTGACCGACACAAACCACATTGTGATACACCATTCAAACACACACTCAAGCACTGGATAGCAATGACATAGACTCACAATTCATTCCATGCCATGCATGCACACACACAAGCAAGGACGACAAGCCGAGTGCAAGCCATAGGGTTGCACCAACAGGGGTTAAAAATCACGGTTCACTGTGTTACGGGCGTACTGTGTTGTGATAAAATCGTACTTAAGCATTTCTATAAGTAGTTCCGATAGATATTGTCGAGTTACACTGTAGTTAACTTCTATAGAATGACGTCAACAAATAGCGCTCGTCTGGATGATTACGTCAGCAGGTCGTTTCAGTCTTGCGAACAGTTGCACCCCTTTCAGTAGCGATTAGAGTGTATAGCGCAAGTAGTTTTGAACAGGTACATTACCGAACGGGTACTTCTAGCAGGTATAAGATTAGCTTGTATGACTTGAATTATTTACTTGTTCTTGAGTAAATTATGGTCAACACTTACAAGTTCTAAGACTTCCGTTGTCTTACTAGTCTACCATTCCAGCAAAGATCCTTGCTCAAGTCTTGAAGTATCACAAGGCTATAACACTGATTTTGGTGTTACAACTTGTTAGTACTAGCTATTACTGGAGGTACTTCCAATATTACTTTCTACTTCAAGTACTTGTGTCTACAGATTCTATACTTAGTCTCCTTCACCACTTTTCAATTTCTTACATGGTATGAGAGCTGTCTGGAATTAAGACTATCATCAATTCTACAAATGACTGGACCATCATCAGCTCCAACATCTGGTTCTTCAACAACTGGACCCACAGGTATTACAAATCCTACAGTTTTCACAGGCCAAGGAGGTGATTTTGCAGTTGTAAATTTTCCATCTGCATATTCTTCAATCGGGATGCCTCAACAGCAGCAAGGTTTACCATCTGTGCATCCACCAGGGACTTCATCGTGTGCACCTGCAACACCACAGCAACAAGCAGCAGCATCAGTGATAGCGGCCTTTAGTGGTATGAGTATTGATGGTTCCAGCTATGCAAGAGCTGCAGGCGCTCCAAGCTCCTGTTCTTCGTTTGCGTTTACACCTGCTCAACATAAACAGTTTCAATTTCTTCAGCAACAGCAACAAGCACAACAACAGTTTCAGCAACAATAGCAAAATCAACAGCAACAACAGCAACAGCAACAACAGTTTCCGCAGCAGCAGATTTCTTTTAGTGGACCTGTTTTTCAGGCTCCAAGTCTTTTATGCAATACGCACATCAAGACAACAATACCTTTTAATGGCGCTGACTTCTACTCCTGGAGTTTCGAGTTCGAGCTCCTCACAAAATCCGTTGGATTATGGCCGTTCTTCAATGGCGATTACTCGTATCCTGTTACGGGAACACAAATGGAGCAGCAAAGTTTTCTTCATGCTTTACCCAGCGCTTTTACAGTTCTTATCCGCAATCTGTCGCTGAAAGAGCAACTCGGTATACGCTTGCTTCACACCAGCTTGACTCCAGCCAAATCTATGTGGAAGCATTTGAAGGGGCTGTATATGGCACAGGACACCATTTCCGTGAGTAAAATTCTCTCACAACTGACAACTGTACAGATGCAGGCCAACGAGTACATTTCGGATTATATCAACAGGGCTCGTGCACTTCGCGACCAACTTGAAAAATGCGGCGGATACTTCCCAAAGGACATGTTTGTAACATTTCTTCTTGCCGGCCTTAGAGCAGAATGGCGGCAGTGTCAATCTCTTCTTCGTATTCAACCAAATCTTTCCGAAGCCGAAATTTGTTCGATTCTTCAAGCAGAGTAGCAGGACTTTGACCTGCAAACAGCACGTACCCGAAAGGGAGCAGTTAATACCAGTTTCTATTCAACGCCTGCAAAACATGTCAACAAGTTCTTCTGTCAATAGTGCAAAAAGGATGGACGCAATATCAAATATTGCAACAAGCTTCAAGCTGATAAGAAACGAGGAGCGCAGCAGTAGTCGCAGCAGTTCAAACAACCCGTGAAGCAGAATCCACCAACAACAACTCTTGCCACATCCGGAAAACAAGTCTTCAGTTGTGTTACAATAGTTCATACAACCGATTCAGATTTCGATGATGAGGAGGAAGAAAGTTCCATCGAGCAACCTGAGAACATGATCTTACCTCAGGTTTTTGCTAATCTCGCTCGGGTTATTGCAGGAACAAACACTTGGTATCTTGACAGTTATTGTGGTCAACACATGTGCTCTGCCAAGACGCTCTTCATCACTCATCAACGTCCTCTTCGACATCCTGTACCTGTCACAGTTGCAAACGGACAAACCATCATGGCAAGATCTATCGGCAGTGTCATGCTGGATTCTGTTGACACTGGTTTTTCCATACATGTTACGAACGTCCTTATCATCGCTGGACTTGGTTTTAATCTTCCTTCAACGGCTCAACTCCTGCGACATAAGATCAGGACACAAGGCAATTGTGAGACCATGGACCCTGAATGTTATCACAACGATACCAATACTTACTTCGGGAGAGCTGCCACTCAGTATGGCGTCTCCGTTCTTCAATTTAAATCACAAGGCACTTCTGGAGATTCAGACAGAGTGTTATCTCTTGGACCTTGGCAACATCCTGAAGAGATTGATTATCAAAAGGTCGAAATAGACTTCCGTGCAACTGCAGTTCCAACGGGATCTCGTACAGCCGCTGCAGTTATAACGGCTCTTGATTCCTGGCCAACAAACACCGCTGAAGAAGATACGTCAGCATGGCGGAACTACTATGACACTCTAACACAACTCAACAACAAACCTGAAGTACCTTGGGGATCCAGCAACAGCACCAGTGAAGCAGAAGAAGCCGACCAGCAGAGTAGCAGTGAAGAAAAAACAGGGGTTCTTATCAGTCAACCTGCAGCAGACACAACAGGAACAGAAATTGAAGAAGGAGAATTAGTATTGCAACCAAAAGAAGTTCTCGACGTGGAAGTTAAAACCACTATGTTGCCTCTTACCCACTTCATTCCTGGACAACTCTAAAAATCACCAGCGATTTCTCCTTTCATCATTTCTTCATTTTATACTAACGCCAGCAACAAAGGAAATATGGCATCAACGGTTAGGTCATCCGTCTTCGGGCATTCTTAATCATTCTATACGGGCTTCAGTTCTTGACAAGAACAGCTTACTCTTACCGGATGGAACCGAGATGAAACCGTCTTCACGACCGACCGTCTGCACAACATGTACAAATGCTAATCTTCCTCATGAACCATTTCCAAGTCATTTTCAAGGATCGACTCATTACACACTAAT